TTGGTCGGGTATTTTAGAAAGCTCTACCCGGCGGGTTAGGAGTTGGTATAGGGTAAACCCGCACCGACCCTACCCATTGCCATCCCTATTTACAACCAAGTACCAAGTGTGGTATCATTTTTCACATTTGTCTTAGATAAGTGAACTTTTTCAATTTTCCTAATTATTTATTATTATCTTTTTTATCTTGTGATGATTATTATATATTTTTAAATTATCCATTTTCACATTCTTTTCTTATCTCTTTTCATTTCAATATTATATATTTTTAATAATAAAAATAAAATATTAATGTATGTACAGAGTTGCACTGTCATCGACATTTCCGACTAAGCTTTATTGGTTTGTTTCAACCCATTTCGGTGGAGATTTTATCGTCCTATAGTAGTGGTGCTTGTGAGTGTTTCGATTTTGTAGGTGATCATACAAATGATCAATCGACAAGATTCGTCCCATGCCTCTGCAGGTAGCCTTCTATTAGAAGTTCAGGTCCTACGTGCCTCCATACAACGTTCATTGATACGCTAAAACACAACACCAAACTGCGACCAAGTGCAATCGCATAATGGAAATGCAAAATAGTGGCAAGTTCAATTTATCAACCCGGGGTCTAGATCTACTGCCTACTACGTGACTACCTGTTATCTAGCGGGACTAAGTGTAGTGAGAGTGATTGCAAACAAAAGCAGTAAGAAAGCAGGAAATGGTTCGAAGTTCTTAAGCAAAGAAAGAGTCACTCGGGAATGAGTCCCCCTAGCTCCTTAGTTAGGTCAAAGTTGTAATTTCCTTTGGTTGATTTACTGTTGATTAAACTGCAGAAGATCCGACAGTAGCTTGGAATCTCTTAAGCTGACCAAGCCCTCTTAAACAGACTACCCGACAGATGATTAGTCTTCAATGGGATAGAACGTTGAGGCAATTAACACAGAACTCCACTAATAGAATTGGATTCCAGTACAAAGCAGTGAATCGACTAACTCTCGTATGATCGATTCACTACTACCGATTGATGAAGCTCTAACAACCTAATCAGATTCTATCTATCTCAGGTTGCAGCAGAAATCAAGAAAAGTTGATCAGGCTTCAATTGACTCAATAAACACACTTCAATCGATTATAATCAAGCAGTATCTCAAACCAAAAGTCATTACAAACATGATCCCTAACACATGGAACTAGGGTTCTTCATACCCAAGTGAGAGAGAGTTATACTCCATAGAGAGAGAGAGAGAGAGAGAGAGAGGAAAACAGAATACAAAGCAGTCATACTCATAATGATGGGAAGAATCTGCTTTGGGATGATAATATTCACCCCAAGGATGAAATCCAAGCTTGATTAAATAAACCCAGCTCCAAAATCACTCCTAGGGTATGTTCTTCACACTTTCTCTCTCTAGGACTATGTTTTTGCTCTGGAAATTCGTCTCCCTCTTTAAAGACCCGAAATTGGGTTAAAACCAGAATTCCACGACCACACGGCCAGGCCACACGACCGTGTGAAATCCCAAAACGTGGCGTTTTGATTAAGTGACTTAATGTACGCTACACGGCCAGAACCGCACGGCTGTGTCGAAATATTTCATGCCCGTGTGAACTCTCTCGAAATCTCACACGGCCAAAAAGGGGCCCTTACACGGTCACTGTGGCTTTGCCCGCGCAAAAGGGGTTCCACACGGCCAAGTCACACGACCGTGTAGAATTTAGGTCAGGCCGTGTAGTTTCCTCAGCTTTTCGTCAAAATCCCAACTTCATCCAATCGACCCCGAACTCGTGCCCAAACCTTCATTCACGTACTAGGACCTGAAATATCAGAAACAAGAACAACCTAGCGTGAAATCGGTCTAAAACACGAGAGACAAGACTCAAACAGTATAAGAATGGTGGACAAAAACATGTATAAATATCAAGTCATCATTCATCGTTACACTTCGCCCAATGTAAATATAATAGGAATGCCCATCTCGTGGTAAAACAAGCCCTCTTATCGTTGGATCATCGGTTGGTCGACTAGCGGCTCTTCCTTAATTCTCCTATGTAATTTTGACATGCAAAGGTCCACATATTTTGTCGCATCTGAAGAATTAGACTTTGGAACAACTTGATGTGTCCCATACCTTTATGCATGGAGAATTGAAACAAGAGGTATACATGAAAATTCCTCTTGGAATTTGACAATCTATGACTTGCTTAATTAAGAAGTCATAGTATGGACTGCAGGAAGTCTCAAGACAATGGTTTGTAATGCTTATAGGGTTTCTAATGAACCATGGATATGCACAATCTGCCTATGATATTTATTCAGTCTTCAACAAGTGGATATATGGAAGAGTTGATACTTTGTGTATATTGTTGATATAATTATTGGTAGTGATTCACTCATTCACATAAAGGATGTAGATAAAGTGAAACTGAATTTGAGTAACAGTGCTCACATGTTCACTTTTGTCCTCTTCCTCTCTTCCTTGTAACACACACGTCAATTTCTTTATGCTTGATTCTCTCATAAAAAATATAGTTTTTGGTAGATTCACAATAAATTGAAATGGGTAGAGGTACTGACACGCTAGTACCGTCACACTAGAAAGTGGCCAAGTGTCACCACCTACTAATGCGTAGTATAGCGGGTTTAGGTTCAAATGTCAACCCGGGTCCTAGGTGTGATGACTACTTCGTGAGATTCTTATTATTTAGCGGTTCAACTGTAGTGAAGTTCCAATTAAACTAGCAAACAAAAGCAGTAAATGTTGTGTTCCAAGTTTGAGAGAGGTCACCCAGATATGGCTCTCCCTAGACTGCAGTTAAGCCAAGTTGTAATTTGCCAAGTTCAGATTCAATGATAATTATACTACGGGAGGTTCTTAGACAGTCGGCAGTCTCGACTAAAGGTCTCCAGACCCCCTCAATCTGAGTCTCCAGCGGGCGACTAACCTCCACCGGAGTAAACAGACTGAGGCCCTAACGTACCAAACATCCTCTACTGGAATAAATCCAGTATAGAATAATGAATTGACTCCTCGACGAGAGGAGTCAATTCACTACCTTCAATCAAGGGTGCTCTATCAATCTAGGCAGATGTTCTCATTCCAGGTCAAAGCAGGAATAACAGGAATTTGATCAGGAACCATGCAATTCAAAAAACCATGCTTCAATTCGTACTTGGTTTCATACAACCAGACCTAACATACAAATCTAGGGTTCTTCATACCCAGGTGAGTGAGAGAGTTTACTCCATAGAGAGAGAGGAGAAATCTGCTTTAGATGCGGAAATCATTATGTGAAGGATGAGGATCTGCTTCTGGTAATCAATCGGCACTCCTCCAAGCTTCCACCGAGCTCCAATGGTGTTGAAGATTGATTTAGGGCGCTTGGAAGTTTTGTTCGTCATTTTCTCTCTCTAGGTTTTCTGCTCTCTAGCTCTAAAAATCGGATTCCCCCTTCTCTTTGGCTTGAAAACTCCTTTTAATCCAAGATTGGGCAAAACACGGTCGAGAACACGACCGTGTTTTTGCTTCATCCCGCCCGTGTTTTGCTTCACTTGTGGCAAACACGCCTGCGTCGCTCCCAAAACACGGTCGTGCCCATGAAGTGACACGGGCGTGTTTTGCTCCAATGACGCTCGTGTTTTGGACTCCTCAGCAACCATCACGACACGCCCTCGGCAGTAAAAACACGGCTTGGGGAACACGGCCTTGTTTTTGGAAGGGCAGCCCGTGTTTTTGCCCCAGCTTCACCGAACGACCTCCAAACGACTCGAAACTCGTGCCTAGCCTTTCCTTCGATGCTTGGGACCTTAAATGTGACAAAATAGCACAACCCAACGTAAAATAAGCCAAAGATATACGACTAGGAGCCGCAAACGGATAAGAACAAGGGTGCAAACACGTGCAATTACATCATTATCAAGTACCTAGATTGTTACTTTGCTAGCAGTCTTCTCAACCATCGAACTTCATGGACAAAAGGTGGAGCCCTATAAAGGATGCCCTAGATTCAGTTGTTTGTTTCTTTTTCTTCCATGTGAGCAGAGATGTTCCCAAGAAAGTACAATAGCTAGACGCAGATCTTTTTGTATTAAGGAAGCTTGCCTAGTTAGAGTCACTAAAGTTGATCAACTTCAAGTCAACAATGCTACTGAAATGGATTTTTCGACCAGGAGAATTCTTTAAATGCATAAGAACCTTATAAGCAGCAAGTGCTCATTGAAATGGTTTCTTTGACACTGGCATAACCTTTGAACATGAGATGCTAAATCTGGTTTGTTGGTGGTGAGATAGTGTGGTCTTCCAAAGAGCCTTCTACAACATTCTCCATGTTCCAAAATGTTTCTTTGGCAACAAGCTGGACCTTGGTATATTGGAGTCTGAAATCCTTTTCTTTTCAAGTATCCAGTGTCGTTAATCTAGGGAAGAAACTTATTCATTCTTAATCTCTTGTAATCTCCAGCCCCATAATATACTTTTAGCGGCCCTAGCATCTTTATCTTGAACTCTTGTGGGTAAATTGGCAAATTTGTTTATAAAGGGACGGGATCATTGTTGTGTTTAAGAGAATTCATTCATGTTCAAATTCGAAGGGGGCTATCAGACCGAAAGAATGAAGCAGCTTGAAGAAAACTTTGGTTGATAAGGATTTGCTCGTACAGAAATACTAGACGACATTTCAGTTTTCGTGTTATAAACTTTAGTTTATTTTAAGTTGTGTGATTTCATTTTGGACAAGGTCCATTTGCCACGAGTAATGGCACTGTTAAATCAGTTTGAGCAGCTATAAAAACAGAGATGGAAGACGAAGACTTTGTGGCTAAAAGTGTCAAATAGTTTCAACAACAAGAGGACTTGTCCCTAGTCGGCTAAGAGGACTTGTCCCTTTCTTTGTTGTCTAGTTTCATTCCATCGATCCAAGGGCTATAGGAGGCTTCGTCGTCTAACTAAATAAAAGGAATCGAGTGTCCAGAAATTAAAAATGGCGGCGGGAACTGTCATTTTTTTAAAACGAACTGTAGTTTTCATTATGGTCAGCGGTACACTTAAAATTTTCACAGTAGGAAGCAGGAGAGACGACATGCGAACATTACAGAAAACAGCAAGAGGATGAAAAGCTTATTATTCTCTCAACACGCATGGGATTTGTTCTTATTCTCTCTTCACAATTTACACACTTTCCACTCGAAACATTTCACCTCTCTTCTTAACCCTTTCAACAGCCCTACACATCACTATAACCTCTCTTGCGCTGCTGCTGCATCTCTGGACCGGGGAAGAAGAACTCTTCATTCTGATTCCCGAAAATCTTCTCCACTTCCCGAGCCGGAACCCCAAACCCTAGCTCCAACGCCTCGCTCTCCATCTTGCTCATCACGTTGTTCTTCCCTGCAAGCTGGAACTTGAAGTTGTCCTGCGCATTCACCTCGAAGCACAGGACCTGGAGGTTGCTGCTAGTCGATGCCACCGTCGCCACGGGGTGGCCCGCGGGGACTATGAACACCATGCCTCTCCTCAGCCGGGACTTCACTTGCCCGTAACTCGGGCCCTCGCGCGAACCCTCGGTGCGGCCGCTCTGTCCCCTCCTTCCCTTCCTGGTGCTGGAAACGTGAGGGCAAGCCATCTCGAAGTAGCCTTCACCGTCCACCACGTAAGCGATCTTCGTGGCCTTCGAGTTGTAGAATGGTCCAGCCATTGCTCCCTGTACATTGACATTCAGAGCTGTTATAAGGTCTTGGAATTAAAAGAGATCAGAGTGTAATTAAACCTCATTTGTGAGGTAAAAGTAGGGGAGCTTGATTGGTGAAGCAATACTTGAGTGATGTTGGCAAAGGAGACCATGAGGTCGAGATCTTCGAGCTGCTCGAATTCGTTGGGGTCTGCTTCGAACAGCTGGCCATACTTGTTCCTCTGAACAGGGCGCCTATGGAGGAGATTGAATGGACCGCTCGATTCGCCGCCGAATGGCCAAATTCCTCCACCTTCCTCCCCATGGGTCAAAGCCCTGATTTGCTCCTTGGATGCTTTCATGATCGTTCCTTCCTGTTGTTGTTGGAAGATCCTCTGCAGACTCTCCCTATCAACCTGCCAACAAGTACAATTAAAAAAAAATCAGATATGAACCGAACGGCTTGAAATTATCTTAATCGGATGAGACACTATTGTGAAAACTAACCTTAAAAGCAGCTGCAAGCAGCTCAGGACTAAATGCTCTGAAGAAAGATTCCGGGTTCTCGCCACCTGCCCCGTGGAATGCCTCGAATGTTCCAGGAGCGTTGACGGGTCGAATGAAATTGATGATCACTAGCTTCTGGCTTTCGTGCTTGTTCACAATGTATGCAGGAGTTCCAGCATGAACCCTAATCACATCTCCAGTCTCAATGTTGAAGCTGTGCCTCTTGATCTCGCTCCTGGAAGTCGTTCGCCCTCTGTTCTCCCGTATAATTGTAAACGTCCCTCTTCCTACAATTGAAAGAATGTTCAATTTTTGTTAAGACATGAACAAAGAATTTTGCTTTGATTAACAAACAAATGAAAAGAAAACGCCATTACCTTGTGCTACAAAGAGAACACCATCTGCATCGAAGTGGCCGGGGTTAACGAAAGTCTGCGGATTAGCTTCAAGAACACCGATCCTGTAATTCTCGATCCCTTTCAGAAGCTCTGATTTCTCAGTGAACCTCTGGAGGATATCGACCCTTCCGTGCTGGCTCCGAGCTTTCGTCAGGAAATGCTCGTCCTTGAAAACATAAGGAGACTCTTCCCTTTCCCCACCTTCTCCAAACATCTCTTCCTTCTCTTCCTCTTCTACATCATAGTAATACTTCCCGCCATCAACATCACCCTTCCCCTGGCCGTACTTCTGCTGGCACCGGAATCGGCACAGAGCCCTCGTCTGTCCTCGACCTTCCGGGCAGCTCTCCCTGCACTCCCTCAGCCTCTTCTCCGGATCCTCGTGTCTCCGGCCACCGCCGCCTTCTTCGAACTCCTTCTCGCACTGGCTCCGGCAAATCTCCCTCTCTTGCTCGGTGTAACCCTTGTGCTGCTTGCACTGGTGTTTGCATTCCTTCACCCTCTTCTCGGGATCAGTCGCTGAAGCAAACCCTGAGACCAGAAGCAGAGCAGAGAGGAGCACAAGGACAATTATAGTGATGGCTCTCATTTTTTCTTCCTTCCCTTTGTTGTTTTTCCTTCACTCAAATGTCAAAAGAGATGGTGGTGAGTTGGGGGATGAGATGTGTGTGTTTGTTTATATAGGTGCTTAAGATCTGATAAGGGTGGAGAGCAGACAGATAGCACCGGTTGAGAGCTATAAAGAAAGAGGAAGAAAAAACAGGGGAGGGAGGGAGAGTGATGAAATTTGCATGCATTTCGACGGGTGTCGCTTGGCATGCTGTAACGTGTCTAATATCCCATGGAGACGATCGCCGCGTATTAGAGAGAGTACGGAAGAATGCAATGCACCCACGAGGTGTTTATACGATCTGTCTTGTAGTGCAAACTTTGAGGGAATTCTTGTGTAGAATGAGCAGATGGGTTTCACGTGGAAACAGAGAAAGTTAGAAACAGGGGAGGGAAGGGAAGGGGGAAAAGACAATCGAGGGATTTGGACAAAAAACTTTGTCCGGTGACTATGTTTATTCTAAGCAGCTTGCTGCGTCTGAACCCATTACTTGTCAAGAAGAAGAAGAAGTAGCAATGTTGGTAAACTAGCTGGCTGTCACCTTCATCTGAGCAGAGCTTATCCAGTCCGGCAAAGAGTTAACAATGCCCGCCCGGAAGAAAGTCTGTGGCTTTGCTAGGCGATGCTCATCCTCATCTTCCTGCATGTCTGTTTATGTGTGGGAATATCGTCGACAAAATGCAGATCCTGCTGGCTAGAAGTTCAGCCGTCATTATGTGGCATGCAGATCCTGTTGCTCACTCACTCGCACACAAAAAATGTCACCAAATGGATCTGACATCTGGTACATGTTGTGATGTTGAAGGCAATCTATCAATGTTAATATTTGTCAATGGTTGGTCACCCTGCAAATTAAAATAGGAAGATTGCAGAAGTGTCCTCTCAATTGTTTCCTTTCGAGCTCGATAGCACTTCTGTAAATAACATTATCGTAAGACCCGATTGCTAGAAACATACAAAAGGACATTTTCTAAAACTAAGGGCATCATCTCAAATTGAGGCAACGAGTCTTTCTAGTAAATATGGTTATATCAAATATTGGTTTCCACAAAATCAACAAGAAACAAAACCCTTCTGTAAAACGTTCCCGTCGATTGTCGAAGACAATTATTTGACAGTCTAACAGATAACCTAAGATTTTGAAGGTGGGTGCAGTTGGATTTGTTTCAAAGATCAGGCATGCCTTTCCCAGTCTTAGAGTCGTATGTCTTCTCCAGCACCACATCCATCGTAGTATCCTTCGGGCCAGCTGTATATAGCAAAAACAAAACACACACACAAGAAGGGATTAAGAATCCAAAAACCTTTGGTAGCCAGAAGAAGTCGAATAGAATCAAGAATCTTGCTCTTCACTAGTTCTTATGTAACAGCAAGAAGAGGGCAAGATAGGCTGTTAAATTGCTTACCTTCAGTAGGTCTCGGTGTCGTCCTTATCTTCAAAATCTCAGGGCGTGGAATTATGGATCCGGATGCTCTTGAAACTCTTACCTTGGTACCATCTTCCAGGTACTTGATCCCGACCTTGCAGGGCCTCCTACATAGAGTGAGGAACAATGGGTGTGGAAACTTGTTACACGAGAGAGAAATTGATGGTATACTGTAAAAACAAATGTTGTAACAGTAAACTGTACCCTGTGACTGGGTCGACAACTTGGACATTGGAGGCATGGAGTGGAGCTTCGACTGTAAAGATTCCTCCCTCATGACCTTCACCTCCTTTTATGTGCTTTTTAACCTGCCAACAAGAAAATGTATCAGGAAGATTGAAGACGGACAAGTTAACATTACTGGTTACTTCACTTGGCCCATGTTCACACTTACACAGACCCAGAATTTGGAATTTTGAGAGTACAGAAACACACAAGCAGATAGCAGAGTGAACAAAACTGAATTCATAGCCTAGAAGTAGAACCCAAGCGAAACTAAACTCTCGCCCTCCCTAGAGTTCAAGCTGGACACAGCTTGCAAAGGCATGCTATACATTAACACACTACAATATTGCTCTTGATTCCATTTCAAGCTACCGGATAAAAACAAGGCAGAACAAACTGTCCATTTTCATAAGCTTAAGCACAGTTTTCTGATGTGATTGCCTGAATTTCTTGAATAAACTACTTCCGAAAATTGAGAAAGGGAACTGAGAGTTCCTGGCTCACTAGAAAATGCTATAAATTTCATCACAAAAAGCAAAGGTGGTGGAAACTACAAACGACAGATAGGCAAATATTGGTGGTGACATGTAGTCAAGGGAAATACAACCGAATCAAAACGAGGGAATTTTACAGATAATATAGTTCATTTAAAACATTTAGATTGGACAACCCACACAAACTAGGCAACAAGATTGTAGTTTAGAATCCCATCGGGTCCATGATAACTTTAGCATTATCAAGAGGCTTTCATGCTGATAAAGCTGAGGGAGATATAGTTTTCAAAAGTTGCACCCAAGGGAAACAAAATGGAATACAGAGAAAAATTAGCTTCTTACTAGATTTTTTCCCTCGACAATAACACGATTTTGAGAGCGGATGACGCGTTTAATCACACCAGACTCGCCCTTATCCTTGCCCCTAATAATCATGACCTGTAATGAATGAAGTCAATAGGAAACATTATCCATGATAGGTAATTAAATGAAGGGAAGAAAGCTTGGTCAAAGACAGAAGGGAGAGCAAGTGACTTCACAAAGCATTCTCACATTATCTCCTCTTAGTACTTTCCAGTGTCTGATGAGCTTTTCAGCTGCCTTCCAACCCATTTCAACTGAAAAAAAAAGCATCAACAAACAATCATCAGAAAGATGGTAGCATGTGTATTCAGAGATGAAATATTTTCAGGATAAATCACGTGGACCTTTCTGTTGGCAACACTGTGCAAAGGCTAAGACCATGTCACAAGTTCTCAAAGAAAGAAATTAAAATGCCAGATTTGCTAGAAAATAGCATCATTGTGCCAGTGACTGCACCTCAACCCTTTGGCAATTTGACAATTTCTAGCATGCAGAAGCTCCTCATCAAGGGAATTCAAGAAACTCGATTACAAGACAGGATATATTATTCAGTTAAGCAAAGAGGGGGAATGTTTAAGTTTAACTCTCTCACGGAGAAGCTTGCAGCTACAGTAGCCTTTCATATCAGGGAGAAGATAGAGTGCTAACTATCACCTTAACATCCAATGTTAAGCCTGATAACAGTAGTAAGAAAGCAACTTTCATCTGGGGTTTTCCAAAAATAATCCTTAGGAATACTTTATTTTCAAAGAGCTACCACAGGACGAGAATTTTTCAAATATATCGCTGGAACCCAGGAGTAAATTCCTGCCTAAGAATGTTCCTAGGTTTACTCAAAACTACATACCATTATGAGCTTACATGAGATCCTCTTAGCCATAGAATGCGTGTGATAGTATAATGCATGGAAAACACAAACTGGTCACTTGGTATGTTTTCAAAGAGCAAGTTCTAGTTTCTGAAATCAAGATATGGAATTATTGCTAGTCATAGCCGAAAGCAGCTGAATACTTAGGAGCTCAAATCATTCTAATCTATATTCTCTGACTAAGCACGGCAGATAACCAAATCTGGGTATTCGGGCCTTGTAGATATTCTTGATGCAGCAAACAAACTGGACCGACGCAAATGAAACTATGGAAGTTATTGGAAACGCGTCCGTTCAGAACAAGGTATAAGACAGCCCTGTATAAAGCAACAAAGATCTTCATTGTTACGGAACGGAAACTACCCAAACAATACTGGTTTCCATTTCTTTCTCCTAGTGCCAAACAAGATCACGGAAAGCATAAATAAGTCCAAGCTCGACAGAAACCAATCCCCACATGTTTTGAACAAGTTAAAGCATTTCAGATGGTGATTCACTAAGAGAACCATGGTAACTGCAACCACGTTACCCAATCGTCAAAAACTCGACATTGCTCTATACAATTCTACTCATTATCCAATAATGTATAACTGATAAAAAAAAAAGAAGCAGACTCGTCACTCACCAGCGAATAGAAGAAAAACCCTTTGCAGCAGAGCCTTGGAGGCGGGGCCGTGAATAGGTCGTGCGACGACGGTGGAGCGACGACTGGGATGGAAACGTCGCAGCAGGATACGGTATTGGCGAGTTCAGGAAGTGACGAACTGGATTCCGAGCATACGGTAGACAGCGGCGGAGGCGACGAGCTGGTGAAGAGGTAGTCAGGAGAATGAAGCCGAGGAATCGCAGCTCTCACTTGGAAGAAAAGGGTTTTTGGTTGCCGAAGCTGGATAGTGGGTTTTTGGGTTGGGAAGCGGGTGTTTGGCCGATTATTTACGAAATAGGTTTGACCCAAGTCATGGATCCAACTCGATCAGACTAGGCCCGATGTTTTTGTTTTTTTTTTTTTCATAGATCATAGATGTCCCGGAATTAGGACTGCCTATTAGGTCACGCATTATTGGTCAAATTGGAAAATAGACTTTTTTAATCTAATGATTACAACCGAAAACTGAATTATCATCCATCCAATCCAATTGTGGATCATAGTATGAACTCAAAAAATCGGATCAGTCCAAACTGGTAGAAAATAAAAATTCGGATAAACTGGATGCTCAAAGGCCAGAACCCATCCCACAAATTAAAAGCCAAGACACATGTCACGTACTGGATTGTACCAATGAGCCCATGACAAATAGGGAAAATCAAGTACCTGAGGAACTGGAATTCGAGCATCAATGAACTGGGTCTTGTTCTTCGTCCCAAGAGCCAACAATATGACCTCACTCCAAGTATAGTAGTTTCCATTCACAAGATTGGTTGAGATGGTGCGAGTTAGAGCTCCATCTTGAGGTGAGAGTTAATATGGGTTTTAGATATGGATCTTTGTATTGAGCCATTACAACCCTGATTTTTCAGAAGAATAACCTTTCTGGCTGGAATTAGGTGAATCAGCATATATCAATTTTTAGGACAACAAGAACAAAGAAGATATAGAAAAGAAAAACAAAGGGAAACCCCTAGGATTTCACAAGGAAATGCATTTAACGTGATGAGCAGCACTCTAATACCATGAGAAGATTAGAGAATGAGAGATAAGGCAATGCTTGGGAATTTCGCTCATAATTAATGAGCTTTTCCATTTTGAGAGGCATATATGCCAAAGCAATGAATTACAATTTAACTCTTTACTATTCGTAAGACTAACTAACCAAGAGAAACTCTACATCTCTAATCTAACACAATAAAGCATGGAAAATAAATTTTATAAACAAAAATAGTGTGTTGCTTCTCTTTCTTTGTTCTTCTGACCTTCTCCATTCTAAGTCCAATACATACCAGCAGAAGAAACTACACATCTTTAGGAGGATCATGATCGTATTAAATCATTTTCAAAGTTGTTCAATATTGAAGCTCAATAATGCATATCATATAGTAGATCAACCATTACTAATAAGTTTCTGAAGAATGGTGGTCTAAATCGGAGGCAACCTCACCACGTGTGTGGATTATTTGGATGATTAAATCTAATTTGCTTAAGATAAGTTGACTATAGAGTTTGAAAACTCAAGCTTGAGAGGAACTCGGCCCCATACAACGTCAAAACAACTTCCTCATTGGAATGTTGAAATTTTTTGTCTTTAAAGAGGCCTAAATGACAAGAGGAGCGAAATTAGATAGAAGTAGCAAGAGAGGAAAAAGAAGATAAGAGAGGTTAGCTCTTACATTGCGTGTATGATTGACTACAAGAACGTAAGAGACGGTTTTGTTTCAACCACAAAATAACGATCAATGAACTACCCCATAAGTGAGTATAGAGAACTTCACAGCATGTTAGTCCAATATGAGGTCATCAACATGTTGCAAGAGCAAGGAACAAGTAAAGGACGAGCGCATACCAGAAGAGGAGTTTAATTTTGTAGTTGCGAGTAAAATGCCTGAATTGGGAGATAGTTTGGATTTTGAATTATGTATATTGATACTAATTTCAGAGTGATATATAAATGTAGGAAGAGTGATCTATGGGAATAATCAAGGTGAGGCATTGATGTGTATTGCAATTAATTACATGGTTGTCATTGTGGGGAACAAAAAACTATCCATTTTGATTTTCTTCTTCTTTATTTTCTCTAATACATTCCCACAAGATGGACGTCGTGTCAATCACTCCATCTTGTATCGAAGCACAAGGAACCGAGTACTGTGCATCCATTTTGTGAGAGTGCCGTCAGATATATTGAACACAAAGTCGATCGACTTGAGCAAATTGGCAAACAAAGTAATAGTCGAGAGCCAAGCGTTTCATACGAGAATGGAACACTGGATTCCCAATGAAGTATGCGGCCCTAAATTTTTGGAATAGGGACCACTAGTGTTGTGGCAGGGTGATTGACTCGGTAAAACGCAACTCCTAACAATGACCAAGTGTAACCAATGAAAGAGACTGCAGTATAGTGGCACAAGTAATAAATATCGAATCCAAGGGTCTCTAGAGTTCCTATTACTCAGCTTCAGTTTATTATCTAGCAAACCAAATTAAGATAGAAGAACAATAACTACTCTAGTAAACTACAGTTAAAGTTAATCTAATCACAGGTTGGGAACACACATATGTATGATTCCCCCTAGCTCACCAATTAGGCCCGAGTTTCTTCTCCCGAATCGCCAATTGATCTCCGATTGACTTGAAACTTGTGCTTATGCTTCACTTTATGAGCTAAGACCTGAAATGTGACAAAGGAACACAACCTAGCGTAAAATAGGCCAAGAAAGCACAAACTCGAGCCAAAATGATAAAGAAACAAAGGTGCAAACATGTGCAAATACGACGTTATCAAATTCCCCCATACTTAACTGTTTGCTTGTCCCCAAGAAAACCAAGTCAGACACAAGGTAAGGTTAAAACATTTTAACCATGCAAACTTTGGGGACATATCATACAGGCACAAAACACGTGAATCGTACTTGATTTTAAACATCAACACATGAACAACAACAACATCAACCTGGACAACCACCACAGATACATTTGAGTGCAAAAAAATTGGGTAGAGGAAGAGTCTCCCTTTTGTTACCGACCAACATAGGCTTGACTCAACCACTCATTCAAAGCAGTCACCCATGCATAAAATTCAAGACATCATAATGAAGAACGGGCAGTCTAGGTCCTCACCGGGGTATATAATATGAAACTGAATCACTCACTCTCGACCAGTGGGGTTAGGAAAAAATTTGATGCAAGATGTGTGCATACTCATACTCTCAATCCCTAACGTCTCTTCACCATGACGACAACCTCTAAATGTTAGAGTTCAAATATCGGGTGTCACCACTAGCTAGTCAGGAGGTCTTAGACACGGGTTCAGACAATTGGCTAGGGTCTTGGACATGGGGAAAATGCCTTTTAGGTGGTGGAAGAATTCATAACACAAGGTTGCACAATTCCAAAACCAAACACAACAATGTTCATTCAAACCATTTACTTTCTTTATGTTATTCTACATTAATCAAGTTCTTTAGAGCACAAGAGTGAAGGAGGTCACAACATGTTAGCATTTCCAGGCCAGTCTGCCAAGAAACGCTGTTTAATGGGCAAGATTACGATTTTTGTGGTGGCTTATTTTTTACTTTCATTTATTTCTTTTTATTTCTTTTCTTGAGAGAACCACCACTTCTGCACATTATTTTATCCTTGCAAACACATGCTCAATTTGTAAGAACTAACTCCAACTCAAAGAGATGCATAAAGGTGATTTTTCATTGTAGACACAAAGAAAGAAAGTTACACGGGTCAAAGGGGCTGACTAGGGGGTATGACACACTAGGACACTCGATTTTGTCGTGGGCTAATCCTATGCCTCCATCATCCTAACTAGTGGCAACGTGAATGCTACACATCATAGAAGAGGGATCTATCACCCAAGAAAGAAACTAGCATACTCAAATCTCACATGGCTACCTATATGCTCTATCTCTCATTTTGTTTCACTAAACTAGATGCATAAACGACTACAGAAAATGAGTGATCAATCCAAGTCCCAGTTGGTAAGCAAACATTTGAAAAACTGAACCCCTACACAACTCTACTACATGTCTCAGTCATCATTATAGGTTGTCTTAGTCACAAACAAGCTATCATGCATCAATGTTAACAACCAATCGATTAATCACATAAAACCACAGTGCCAATATGATCATGTAAATATCTGTACTTGGAGCCCTCAAATCTCAAGATTTGGACAGTGGACTAGGCTCCATGGCAAGCAAAACACATCATTCATCACACGCATACATAATGGTACATTCCCCCCACACTTAAGCACGTATTTTCCTCAATGGAAGAAAGACAAGGAGGGTAGAATGAAGTTACCAGATTGGGTGTGAAAGATGGTAGACGGGGCAAGTAGTGCATTCCAGGAGGAGAGAGTAGTCGGAACACAAACACCACACAAAATCTCACATACGTTGAGTTATTGACTCTAAAATCAAAGAACAAAACTGACTCAACCGAAGAGAAATAGGGAAAGAAATGCAAACCGACTAGTTGGGTTGCCTTCCAACAAGCGCTTCTTTCACGTCGTGAGCCGGACGGGTGGATCCTAAGTTTTGGTCCACCCCAGAACCTTCTTGAAGTTGAGGTTCTCATCAATGAGGTGGAGTTTCAAGTCACGAGCAGGTGGTATAGCAAGTGATGGAAATGGCTCGTGCCCTTGATGTAGAGGAAGTCTCCACCCTCGTGACCTCTTCTTCTCTTTGTCCCTCATCTCATAGCCCCAAACCATATATGAAAACAACGAATGACCACCATCCCGTCCACCAAGGGGGACCGATGTCGATGTGGCCTTGGTTTGACAAAGAGACAATGCAAACAGGTCCCTACGAAGCAGCTCCTCGAAGTTTGGTGGAGATATCACATGTAAGTCATGGCCGGTGCAAGCCTCTTCCACCACAACTTCGTCCTCAGCCTGGACACCAATTTCTTCTTCAACCCCCCTTCCTTCCTCAGAATTTGATTCATCCCCTTGTAAAAGATCAAGAACTTCCTCTGCTTCACTTCCGTCATCCACCACAACTTCATTTCTCATCCTTTCTCGCTCTTCTTCTTCGAAAGCGAATTGAAGAGCAAGTCGCCAGGCAATTTATTTGATGAGATCATCTTGCATCTAAGAGGACATTCCTCATCAAGATCATCATGTGAGCTCTTTGTGACAACTTCTGTATGCTCCACAATTTGCTCGTGACCTTTTTCATCCTCCTCCTCTTCTAGTATGGTAGCAGAAAGGTTGTCTTGAACAAGTCG